GTTTGATTTGTCTGTAACCATGGTTTCTCAAGACCAAAGTAAGGACTCTGGCTAGAAAAAAAATGGAGGTAAGGAGTTTAGAATGGTAAATCCTCAAGACAAGTCCTTGAAGAAGATGAAGTTTGTTTTATCTGTTGAGACAGAACCAGGCAACACGACAACATATTCTGAGGATTCAAAGTCAGGTCAAGGTATAAGCACAATGCCTCGTGTTGTGAAGAGAAAATATCATAAACTCAAGCCAGTTGTTGAGTACAATAAAAGGGGGAAAGGATGTGGCCCTGCACATATTGAGATGCAATCCTACATTGGTGTGTTGGCACGCTCCAGAGTCCCACTTGTGGACAAGAAATGGGCTGAAATCCCCAATGATATAAAAGAGCAGATTTGGGAAGTCGTTGATATGGCTTTTGTGGTAGGTCAAGGGGGCAAGAACCTGGTGTTATCTTCCGCTGCCAAGAAATGGAAGGATTTCAAGTCTACACTAACGAGGCATCATATCCTTCCATTCATCAAGGAGAAGGAGAAATTTAGCCAACCCCCTGAACTATATAAATTCATAAAGAAAGCAGAATGGGATGCCTTTGTAGCTTCAAGGTTATCCGAACAATTTGTGTATGTGCATTTTCAACATTCACATATTAGGGAGAAACTTGAGTACAATCATCGATTGTCTCGAAAAGGATATGCTGGTTTGGAGGATCAATTAGAGGAAACCATGCCCGGGGTAGAAATTGATCGATCTACCTTATGGAAGAAAGCTAGACAAGACAAGCATGGTAACATCCTGGATCCAAAGGTGGCAGAGAAAGCAAAATTAATTGTAAGCCTACTCACTCTGTTTTAAATTTTTATTAAACTGTGTATTGCACTTATAATTCTTATTACGTCTTATGTTATATTTTTGCATTGTGTGACTGATATTACTACGTTGAGATGTTTTAAAAAACGTCATTACAGGTCTGAATTTGGAATCACTACTCTGTTTTTTGTAATTATAGCATAAGACGTCGGTGGTTTATTTATTACGTCGTTTGAAACTTCTAACCACGTCGTTGGTTAAGTACCGTCGTGATAAATTTAAGATAACGCCGATTGCTATGTTATTGCGTCGTGTGAAATTATATAATACGTCGTTTTTTTTATAAATAACCGTCGTGTGTTTTCTTGTGCTGACCTTTTTTATATATCTTTGTTTTAGGATGAATTGCAAAAACAAGTCTCTGAAGGCGGTCTTACTGTATCTGGCAGTAATGATGTGTTGACAATGGCTTTGGGTCCCAAGCATCCAGGGAGAGTTAGAGGGGTAGGTGCTGGGATTTCCCCTAGGCAATACTTCAATTTACCTAGACAACAGAGGGTAAAGTTTGCTGATCAATTAAAGGAAAGTGTAAGACTTGTCCTTCAAGAAGAGACTTTGAACATGGAAGCTAGATCAAGGGAAAAGACTTTAAAGATGGAGGCTAGAACCAAGCAATTGGTAGAGGCTGAGAGGGAAAATTTACTGAGTCAGCTTTCCCAACTCATCCCCAATTTTGATCCAAGCATGCTTAAACCAAAAACTAGCTCCTATCAAAACCAAGGTCAAGAGAAATGTCCCAAAAATCCAATGTCGGACAAAGCAAGCTGCTCTGGGGCTCTTGATGGGAGATCCCAACATTTTGAGGATGATACTGCCAAGAATGGGGAAAAGCAGGATGAAATGGTAACATATCTGAACTTTGAATTCTCTATTTTTTTAAAAAGCTATTAGACATCGTTATTATGAATCAAACCGGCGTTTGAAATACATACCACGACGATTTTATTAATAAACCGTCGTTTGAATTTCAATATCACGTCGTATTTAGTTTACTTGTTTTACACACCATTAGATGTCATTATTTTTGAAAACTTTTATGGTGATTTAGACGATGGTTTTAGTCCTTACCGACGTAATAGATAAATCCCCATGACGTTTATTATTTACCATCATTTAATGATTTTAAGACGTCAATAATTCTTACATACCGTCTTATGTTATGCCTTACCACGACGTGTTGATTTAATTTTTTTAATTTCTGTACAATCTGTCTTATATATATATTTCTTTATTTCTTAAAACAGAAATCTAGGGATTTAGAAAAGCAAGATGAAGAAAAGAGAGATGAAAAGCAAGATGAAAAGGTAAAGTCTCATAACTTTGCCTCTTTTATTTGTTTTTCAAATTTCAGACGTCGTTATTTTCTTTAAATCGTCGTTTGTTTTAAATTTCCATGGCAGTTTTGTTTTTAATTGAATTTTTACATTGTTGTACAAGCTTTCTTATATATCTCTATTTATTTATTAAAATAGAAATCCAGTGGTGGAGAAAAAGAAATTGTGGTAAATTCATTATCTATGAATTTTGCATTTTAATTAGACGTCGGAATTTGTTTTCTATGACGTAATAAATTATTCACCATGATGGTGTTTTGTTACCGTCGTTTAAATTTTTATCAGACGACGTTTTTTTTCTTTAAACCATCGTGTTTATTGAATTACCATTTATTTCTTTAAACAAAATATTGAAGTAGTTGATTATTCAAAGTTGGAGGTGCCATCTTCTTTACAATCCCTTTGTCATTATGTGAAAACGACACTAAAGCCTCAGGAGAAGATTATGACCTTTACAATTGAGAAGGAGGTGTTTGGTTATGATCGTAGTACCTTTTTCTTGCATGAAGATATTACATAGTTTGCAGGCATGGAAGAAATTGGGGCTACTGTGGTTGCAGTATATATGAGGTTTGTCCTTATCAAATATTTATTTCACACTCTCCTTTCTGTTGAAAAAAAAGAGTCATGTGATCATTTCATATATATATATATATATATATTTAGGTGCCTATTTGATAATTTGAAAGCTGCAAATATGTTGAACATGGTTGGCTTTATCGACCCTGCTCAAGTTAGTGCCAACGCTGGGTCATTACCTGAGAGATCATGTTTGGTAGCCAATCAACTTCAAAAGACAGATGGTGAACAGATTTTCATGATGCCTTACAATCCAGGGTTAGTCTCCTTATCAGGATTTTGTTTGTATTATGCACTGCATATAAAACTGTTTAACCTTTATATTAATTTTGTGCAGTCGTCATTGGGTCTTGTTCATTGTGAGAGCAAAGAATGAAACTGTCTATTTTCTGGATCCTCTGCCCGGAAATCGAGTGGTTGATGAGGAGGCCAAAAACATATTGAACAGTGCTATCAAAATGTATAATTCACACATATGCAGACAAGCCCGTAAAGCAACCATTTGGAAAACTCTGCCAGGCACACCAAAGCAACCAAGCAGTGTAGAATGCGGCTATTATGTCATGCGCTTCATGAGAGACATCATCATGGATCCTTCCCTGGAGTTTGAGAAGACAGTAAGAAGAAATTTTCATATTTATTTTATGTGGTTTTTTGTATTATCAACGACAGTCCTTTAAAATTACCGTCGTTGAATCAATATATTACGTCAGTTATGAAAAATAGCGTCGTCTGTGATTGAACTTCTTTTTATTTATAAAGCTTAATAATCATTGTTTATGGATTGCAGTTTGCGAAGGGAAAAGATCAAGCGCCATACCCCAAAGCAGCCATTGATGAAGTCAGGAAAGAATGGGCAGAGTTTGTTTGCCTTCATATGGAGTAGAGGATTTTTAGAACACTTGACATTTTTATATAACACTTTGTTAGAATTA